CAGGCCGAAACCAGGAGGCTGGAATTCCATCCGGGTCTCCCATGTGGGTGCAGGGGCCCAAGCACTTGGGCCATCCTCCACTGCTTTCCAAGACGCATCCACAGGGAGCTGGATTGGAAGTGGAGCAGCTGGGATTCAAACCGGCACCCATATGGGATGCCAGTGTTGCAGGTGGTGGCTTTACCTGCTAAGCCACGGTGCCAGCCCTAGGAGGCACCATTTCAACAGAGACTAAAAGGAGACTAGGGGGCCATGTGGCCCGAGGACAAGTGTTGCAGGTGCAGGGAACAGCCAGGGTGGAGGCCCTGAGGCGAGACTGTGCCCTGCATGCCTGAAGAACATCTAGACCAGTGTGGCCGGGCGGAGTGTGGCCGGGCAGAGTGAGGACAAGAGGCCAGGGTGCAAATCATTCCAAGGGTGTTCCTGCTGCTCCCTCCCAGGACCACCCCCATTTCCAGGGCCCCAGCCTGGGACACCCAGCCAGTCCCGAGCTCCCAGCTGCCCTCGCCCACTCCCAGTGCTCCGCAGGGCTTCCTGTGCGAAGGTGCCCTGTCTCTGCCTCCCTTCAGGCCCCGACGCCCCCTCTGCTTCCTCGCAGGCCCGTCGTCTGGGAGCTCGACGACCGCCCCCTGACCTGGAAGGGCCAGCTCTCCGGCCAGGACGTCAGCACCTTCCTGGACCCGAGCACGGGAGGTCAGCAGCTGCAGATCTTCAAGTCAGCCATCTACAAGTGCTTCGTGCAGCAGGAGTTCATCGCCCGCTTCAACGCCCAGGGCAACCAGGACGCGCTGGGGGCCCTGCAGGACAAGATCAAGGCCGAGGAGGCGCTGCAGGGGCAGCCCGGCCCCACCCTCAGGAGGCTGGCGCTGACGCTGCTCGTGGGCACCGTCCTGGCCGCAGCCACACTCCTGCTGCTGCTGCTCCGGCTGCTCCGTGCTTCCCGGGGCAAGAGGAGCCGGCAGACGCTGCTGGTGAAATAAAGTGAGCCCTCTGGGCACGGGAGGACTTGACCGTCTGTCCCTCCATGGCTTCACTGCCCCTTCCAGGGCTCCCGCCCCCACCCCCACCACGGTGGGAACCAAAGCAGCGTGTCCATGAGTGACCAAACTCTTGCTGCTTCGGGGCCTGCTCTGTTAGCTCAATCGTTGTCCCCATTCCACAGATGGGCAAAACTGAGCCCAGGCTGTCTACCCAGTTCTCCAGGGAGGGAGGGAACGAGGCCATTCTCAGGAGGGGGGTGGTATCCAGCTGTTGTAACCGCAGTCTCTGGCAGCCACTTCCCTCTCTCCAGGACAAGGGGGCTGATGCAAGCGGGTGACACGCAGACCCCAGATAAGCACTGGGCCTTGCTGCCTGACCCTCGTCCCACCTCCCTCCCGTTGTGCCTAGACCTGCAGGCCCAGCCATAACTGCCCATGTCCAGGCTGGGACAAGCACCACACTTCCCTGGTCTTCAGAAGCTGGGAAGAGGGGACAGGCCCTCCCCCCTCCCAGGGTGAGGCGCCAGCCCTGGGCCCAGCTGACCCAGGGGACTCATAGGCCTGGCTGTTCCCAGAAATTAGATACACGGGTGAGCAGAGTGCAGATGCGAGAAATAAAATATTCATGCCTTTTAAAATTCATCGCCCTAAAACTCTGCTGTGAAATAGCGGCAGGACAGGGGGGACCCTGCCAGAACAGCTTCTGCCCCCAGGACTGCGCGGAGCTCGTACCCGGCGTACCGGACACGGGGCTCAGCCATTCCTGCACCGTGGGGGGAGGGGCGCGGGCTGTTCCCTGCCGACCAGCGGGGCTCCCTGGGAAGCAGAGGCAGAGCGTAAACAGGACCAGGACAGCCACTACATGGACCTCAAAACCGAGGGCTCCGCGAGCTTTCGCTTACTCGCCTTTGTTCGGCAGCCAGAAGGTTCCAGGGGCAGCGATGGGAGGGTGAAGGGAATGTGTGCCCCGCTGTGGCTCCCAGGACACCCGTGGAGCCCGGCACCCACAGAGCCCCATTGTGCAGGCAGAACAGAGACAGCCAAGCCGAGGTCCCGAGGCCAAGCAGATCTGCGAGGTACCCATCTCACAACCTCAGCTGAGGTGAAGAGCGACCCACTAGGACGGGCGGCCCCAGGGGTGACCCCAGTGCCTTCCCACCTCCTGGTGTCGGCTGTGCAGGGCAGCCCCGGGAGTGTGTATGGCTAAGGAGTCAGAGGGTGCAGGCGCTCCCCCAAGCAGGTCAAAGAGTTATACACACACACACAGAGGGAGAGAGGGAGAGAGAGAGAGAGAGAGAGAGAGAGAGAGAGAGATCTTCCATCCACTGGTTCACTCCTGCAATGGCCAGGGCTTGTCCAAGCCAAAGCCAGGATCCAGGAGCTTCTTCTGGGTCTCCCATGTGCATGCAGCGGCCCAACTACTTAGGCCATCTCCACTACTTAGGCCATCTCCTACTGCTTTCCCAAGCGCATTAGCAGGGAGCTGGATCGGAAGTAGAGCAGCTGGGACTTGAACCAGCGCCCCATATGGGATGCAGGCACTGTAGGCAGTGGCTTTACCCACCGTGTCACAGCGCCGGCCCCAGCAGGTTCTGCGCTACAGAGACTGTGTCTGAGCAGATGAGGGGGCAGGAGTCTTGCTGGGTTGCTGACGTGGGCAGCCGTGTCGAGGAACCCCCCCCCCCCGGTGAGGAGCTCTGCACCCCCACAGAAGCTGTGCGGTCACCTGTGGTGTGGCCTCAAGCTACTTGCTGTGCCACCACATGTGTGCCCCAGCCCCGGGGAAGTCGCCTGCAGCGTGAGCCTCTGTGTGGGTGGTCGCGGCGTGTGCCAGGGGTTCCTGCTCGTCTCAGGAGCCTGCAGGGCCCAGAGCAGAGCAGAGCAGGCTGGGAGCCGGCCCGTGGACGCCCCCAGGAGTGGGGGCTGGGGAGCTACCATCCAGCCCCCTCCCCGACATGGTGCGACTCTGAGGTGCGTTCCACACATTCTCAGAGGGGCCCGCAGCGGGCGGGGACCTCAGAAAGTTCGTGGGAAAACAGGATTAAAAGAGAAGTATATTTTGGTACAAAAAGATTTTGAGGTATATGATGAGCCGTGTTCATGGAGTTCACAGGTGTTCTGAAAAAACTTAGGCATGGATTTCAAATTTTTTTTGCATGGCAATTAACTTTAAAAAAAAAACACGTTTATTTATTTTTATCTGCTTCAAAGGCAGAGCAGTAGAGAAAAAGAGCAAGACAGAGAGAGAGGGAGATTTTCCACCTGCTGGTTCACTCCCCCAAATGCCTGCAACAGCCAAGACTGGGCCAGGCGGAAGCCAGGAGCCCGGAACTCCATCCGGGCCTCCCGCGTCGGTGCAGGGGCCTCAGCACGAGACTCCTCATCTTGTGCCTCCGAGGATGCACCAGCAAGAAGGCGGACTGGAAGCAGGTGGAAGCAGGGGTGCTAAGGCTGGAACTGGCGCCCTAATATGGCATGCAGGTGTTCCAAGTAGCAGCTTAACCTGCTGTGCCCCAGCGCTGGCCCCAAGAAACTTACTTTTTTTTTTTTTTTTGGACAGGCAGAGTGGACAGTGAGAGAGAGAGAGACAGACAGAGAGAAAGGTCTTCCTTTTGCCGTTGGTTCACCCTCCAATGGCCGCTGCCGGCATGCTGTGGCCGGCGCACCGCACTGATCCGATGGCAGGAGCCAGGTGCTTCTCTTGGTTTCCCATGGGGTGCAGGGCCCAAGCACTTGGGCCATCCTCCACTGCACTCCCTGGCCACAGCAGAGAGCTGGCCTGGAAGAGGGACAACCGGGACAGAATCCGGTGCCCCGACCGGGACTAGAACCCGGTGTGCCGGCGCCGCAAGGCAGAGGATTAGCCTAGTGAGCTACAGCGCTGGCCTAAGAAACTTACTTTTTCAAAATCCATTTTCCATGAACTTCTTGAAGTGTTCTGGGGACTGGAGGGGACATCTTTGAGGGACACGACTGAGCCCGCTCCAAAGCAGCTCGGGGCAGAGACAGCCCCTGGGAGGGCTCTCGGGTGGGCGGCCGCCTGGTGGACGGAGACACCCGAGGAGGCACTGTGCGAGGGGGCGCTGGTCAGGGCTGCCCGATGTGGGGCTGACTCTCTGGGCCCACGCAAGGTTTTGGGCTCTATTTGAAATGGAATGAGGGTCCCAGGAGGGACGTGGTCTAATTCATGTCCATTTAAAATGGCGATTGTGCCCTGGGGCCAGCAGGTGATGGCTCAAGTTGGTCCCTCCCAGCTCCTGGCTTCAGCCTGGCCCTGCCCAGTCTTTGCAAGAATTTGGGGAGCCAGCTGGTGGCAGCTCTCTGTCTGCCTTCTCAAATAAATACATTGGATGAGTCCTTCCAGGCCAGGGTGGGGCGCCCCCCAGGTGGGGCAGGGAATAGCAGCCACTTGGGGCGTGGCCTCCTGGAAATGAGCCCCGCGGTGGAGAAGTGGAGAAGCGGAGAAGTGGCGCAGACCCGGCCGCCCTCTCCCGGCTGCAGAAGGAGCCACAACACGCCCTGGGTCCCAACTGCCACTGTCCCGTCCTGTCTTCCACCTCCCCATACTGTAAAATTTCAACTTCTGGAGCTTAGCTCTTTTGAAAAAGAAATAAATGCAATTCCAGGGGCCAGCGTTACGGCCCAGCAAGTTAAACCACCACCCGGGACGCCGGCATCCCACATCCCAGTGCCGGTTTGGTCTCAGCTGCTCTGCTTCCAATCCAGTTCCCTGCTAATGCGCCTGGGAAGACGGCGGGAGATGGTCCAAGCACATGGGTCCCTGCCCCCCACGTGGGAGACCCGGATGGAGCTCCTGGAGCCTTGCTTTACCCAGCAGAGAGAAGACCTCTTTCTGTCTCTTTCTCGTCACTCTGCCTTTCAAATACACAAAATAAATCTTTGGGGGAAAAAAATGCGATTCCAGTACAGCAGCCTCACTTAGCCAGTTTCGGTCACCCTTGGCCTTCTGTGGTTCTGAAAACATAAGATGGAAAATTTTAAAAGTAAACAACCCGTAAGTTTAAATAACTTTTAATGCAGTATACTGCTATGATCGCTGATTTATTATTCATTACTGTTGCTAATCTCTTACTGTGCCTAATTTATAAATCCAACCTTATCATAGATATGGATGTGTGGGGAAGAGAACAGTACATAGCGTTCGGTACTGCCCAAGGACCCTGGGAAAGCCTCCGTGGACGAGGGGGACTCCTGTACGTGCTACAGACACAGCCCCTCCAATCTGCTGAAGCCACAGCAATGCTCAGCCACGTGTCGCCTTATGCTTACATTGCACACAGGTTCTCTTTGCAGACACAGCCCCCCCATCGGGGCACTGGCATCAAATGCGAGCAGTGAACTATGCCTAGAGGGGGGCCCTACTTGCCCCTGGCTGGTCGCTTTGCACAGTGCTCAGCCTGCACAGCTGCACACGGCAGCCCTGGATCCAGGCCCCTTTCCGCCCAGTGACGCTGCCCGGGCACATGTGACGGCCCTGGAGTCCCGCAGGCCAGTCTGGACGGCTCAGCCTAGGGCAGGCTCCCGCACTGCTCACGTCACAATCCAAGGAAGCGCAGGTGGCCCAGTTCATCGGAAGTCTTGGTTTCCAAGGTCATCAGGGAAGGGCGTGGGACGAGGGCTGGGGGCGGAGCTGAGCCGAGAAGCATCCTTCCGTTCCGCCACCTTCCACGGTGCCCACAGCGAGGAAGTGGGGAAAGGTGGCTCCCCTGGGTCCAGGAAGAGGAGGCGAAAGTTACTGCTGCAGACCGGGTTTCAGATGGCGCACGCGTCCTGTGAAGCCAGTTTAACCGCCACAGTCTGCGATCCTGACTCCCGGTCCTCGAGGGTAATTTAGGCCTCTCTGGGCGCCTCAGTCGCACTGCTTCTTTGCTAAGACCTAAGAGGACGCTTGGCGCGCTCCTCCTTACCCTGCCTGGGGTCCTATCAGGCTTTAGCAGGCAGAGATGTCCAGAGCGCACATGTTTCCCGCCCCTGCGCCCCTTGGCTGAGATCGCCCCCCACCACGTCCTCCTGCCCACCCGCCCGCGGCTGTGGACTGCCCCGTCCAGGTCCCCGGTTCTGGCTGCAGCCCTCCAGGGCTCTGTTCTGTGCCCTCACCGAGAGAACACCCTTCTTTCTCCTGCATCAGCCCGGCCCGTGGCTCAGGCTTCCGCTCCAGCACCACACCCTCAGGGAAGCCTTCCCAGCACCTCTCTGCTCTTGGAATGGCCCCTGGTGCTGCGCTCCCAAACCCCCTGGCTCGCCTCCTTCCAACAAGGACATCTCTCTCCCATCTCTGCTCTCTGCCACGTGGGAAGACGGCCGCCCACAAGCCCAGGAATGGGCTCAGGCGCTGTTACAGCCACTAGCGCACACCAGAGAGAGAGAGATCTTCCACCAGCTGCTCACTCCCCCAAATGCCTGCAACATGGGCCAGGCTGAAGCTAGGAACCCAGAACTCCATCCGGGTCTCCCAAGTGGGTGGCTAGAGCCCAAGTACCTGATCCAGCACCACCTGCTGCCTCCCAGGGTGCACGTTAGCAGGAGGCTGGACCAAAAGCAGAGGCAGGACTTGAACCCAGGCCCTCTGATGGGCGATGTGGGCACCCTAGGGGGTATCTTGATGGCTGCACCAAATGCCCACCCGTCCACGGACTTTTTGAAGCCCGCTGTCCATCACTGCGGTTTAGCCTGCTCCATGTGTGGCCTCGGCAGCAGCGGCGGTCATGGAGTGCCTGCTGTGTGCCAGGCACTGTACTCGGCAGGTGTCACCCTTGGAACGCTCTCTGGGGCATAAGCGGTCACCAGCCCCACTTAACAGATGAGAGAAGGGCGGCACAAAGAGATGAAGTGCACGTCTCGGGTCACCCTGGTAGCCAGGGACGGAGCTGGGAGTTGACCCTAACCAGGCCGGCTCCAGCGTGCCTACTGTTAACCAGCACAACATTCTGGCAGGACGAGCAGCCGTGACAGCAACACCTCGCCCGGCGCCGACCCTCTGTGCCCACCCCCAGCCACCGGGAGGCCAGCAGCCCCGTTGTTTCCTGTTCCACCCTCTCAGCAGTGCTCCGAGGTGGGCACTGCGCTGAGCCCCAGCTCTCGACGCGCTGAAGGTCATGTATGAGGCAGGCGGGACTTGAACCCAGGCGCTGGGGCACAGAATCTACCACTTCACCCCCCGTCCCGTCTCCCCCCCCACCCCCCAGCCGGGGCTGAGGTCGGTCTCTGAGAGCCACATGAAGAAGGCAGGAGGCTCCCAGGCCAGCCGGCGCTCCCGCTGGCCGTGTCTGCCTCGCCCTGCCTTCCCCTCCAGCCGCCGCCTGGCACGGCCTTCCCAGAACTCACTGTGGACAGAGTGACCTAATGCAGCCTGGGCCGGAGGGGTGAATCCAGGCAAAACGGCCAGCGGCCGGGCCTGACTCACCAGACGGGGCTCGGAGTGGCGGCTGGGAGCCTGTGCCGAGGAGGGCGTGGAGGGGGGGGGCGACACCTGTGGTTCCTCTTGAGTCCTGCATTGGCCCGTGACCCTGACCTTGACACCCCCCCAGGCCCCTGCCCGGCTGTCCCTGCTCATCGCCCTGACGGAAGCCTGGGCAAGATGCCAAGTCACACTTCACACATTTCTGAGAAACCAAGACATGGCTATTTATAGCCTTTTGATTCCTCTGCCAAGCGAGAGCCGCACAGACACGAGCAAGTGTGCTCGCTGCACAGGGACGATGGGCTCGGTTTTGCAGTGGGGAGACTGAGGCTGGGGGGGGAGTTCATGCGCGCACAGCCTCATGGTCGGGCCGTGGCAGCGCTGGGACTGGAACGGAAGCAGACTCAGCTCACCCAGCAAACGAGCTTGGCTGCACAGGTCCAACCTGCCAGCAACACCTTTTAAAAAAAAATAGCTATTTATTTGAAAGAGTTGCAGAGAGGGAGAAACAACGACTGGTTCACTCCCCAAATAACTGCAACAGGGGGTTCTGGAACTCTATCCGGGTCTCCCACGTTGGTGTAGGGGCCCAAGCACGTGGGCCGTCTTCTGCTGCTTTTCCAAGTGCATTAGCAGGGAGCTGGATTGGAAGTAGAGCAGCCAGGACTCGAACCGGCGCTCCTATGGGATGCAGGCTTATTTCTTGATCGCTTTTCATCAAGGAAACAATCATGATATTAACAACAGGAAACAGGAGATGTGCTCAAGTGTGAGTCAAGTTCTCCACCAACGGAAACTCGCCCAGCCTCCCCGAATCTCCAGTCAATGCCATTCATGGGCTGCTGGAGCCTCCCCCGCACGTGGGGTTTGCGCAGCTTCCGCTGCCAGCGACCCTCAGGACTTTCTCCAGCCCGCGGGGTGGTCACTGGGCTGAAATTCAAGTGAGACTCCAGACCTGAGCCAAGACAGCACTCACCTGTGGGGAGCTCTGCAGTGGCCTCCCACGGGGTTGCTGCTCTGTGCCTCAGTTTCCCCACGTGTGGGTCAGCAGCACCCCAGCCGGCCTCATCCTCACTGTCGGAGAGCTGATGGGAGAGGCAGGTGCAGTGCTGGGGGCGGGGCCTGGCAGAGTTGGGATGTTCCCTGTTGCAGGTGGGGCTGTGGGTGTTCAGCCTGGCTGCCGGGCGCTGAGCACCCGCCCCCCGCCCAGGCCCTCCCACCCCTCCCCGCCAGCAGGACCCTCTCAGATGTCAGCTGTGGGACGTGCGTGACATGCGGTGATACCAGGGGTCGCGCTTCAGATCTGAACACTCAGGACTTTGGTCCCTGGGGCCTGGTGGGCCCACACGGCACCTGCCTCCAACCCGCCCTGCCCATCTCTGCACTGAGCTCCGCTTCTCTTACAGGGGGGTTGGCCTCTGTGGCAAAGCCATTCCGGGGGGGGGGACTTGCTCCCGGCGGACCCTGCCTGCTCGTCCCGCAGACCAAAGGGCGTCATGGCCACCACTGTGTCTGCTGCTCCTCCCTTAGCTCTCCCGGTACTTCTGGTAGCAGATGGCGGGGGAGCTGTGGGGCGCCCTGTGTGGGCACTGGTTCAAGTCCCGGCCACTCCACTTCTGACCCAGCTGCCTGCTGATGAAGCGAAGGATTTCCAAGCAGACACCAGTGCTCTCTACGCCTGAACATGTGGGCATCTGTATCACTGTTCAAAGCTGACAGTCCTTTTAGGATGCGGGATTGGCATGCAAGGAAATGTACCACCGATGGAACACGAACTCACATCAAACAGCAAGAGCACCTCCACCAGCCTAGAATAAGAACCCTGGGGCCGGCACTGTGGCACAGTGAGTTAATGTCCTGGCCTGAAGCGCTGGCATCCCATATGGGTGCTGGTTCTACGGTTCTAGTCCCGGCTGCTCCTTTTTTTTTTTTTTTTTTTTTTTTTTTGACAGGCAGAATGGACAGTGAGAGAGAGAGACAGAGAGAAAGGTCTTCCTTTGCCGTTGGTTCACCCTTCAATGGCTGCTGTGGCCGGCACACCGCGCTGATCCAATGGCAGGAGCCAGGTGCTTCTCCTGGTCTCCCATGGGGTGCAGGGTCCAAGCACTTGGGCCATCCTCCAGTGCACTCCTGCGCCACAGCAGAGAGCTGGCCTGGAAGAGGGACAACCGGAACAGAATCCAGCACCCTGACTGGGACTAGAACCCGGTGTGCTAGCCCCGTAAGGCGGAGGATTAGCCTAGTGAGCCGCGGCGCCGGCCTGTTCCTCTTCTGATCAGCTCTCTGCTATGACCTGGGAAAGCAGTGGAGGATGGCCCAAGTCCTTGGGTCCCTGCACCCACGTGGGAGACCTGGAAGAAGCTCCTGGCTCCTGGCTTTGGATCAGCTCAGCTCTGGCCATTGAGGCCATCTGGGGAGTGAACCAGCGGATGGAAGACCTCTCTCTCTCTCTCAATCTCTACCTCTCTCTGTAACTCTCTTTCAAATAAAATAAATCTTAAAAAAAAAAAAAGAATAAGAACCCTTCCAGGTAACCCCACCCCCACTCCACCCACGAAGGCACCCGCGGCTCTGACGTTTTTGTCTCTTAACAGGGAACCATCAGGACTGATGACCCTTATGTTTTGGGATTGACCTTGATTCGCTTTTGCAGTTGGTGGCAGAGTTAAAAAAAACAGTCGCGAGTCTATAAAATCTGGGCACCACACTCACAACTATGGTGCCCAGCAGGGAGGAGGCCTCCAGGGAGGAGGCGACAGTGCCCAGTGACAGCACTGCTCTGAGCACTGGGTGGGTATCTTGTGTGCACCTCTCACGCGGGTGCATCCTGTAGGATGCCATCGGCTGCAAGAAAGGGAAGAAGGAATTCCAAACAGCTTTAACAACAGGGGCCTTTGTTATTCTGTAAAACATTCGTCCCACAGCGTTAGGCAGGTTCTACAGTGCTCAGCACATCCATGGGGTGGGGTCCTCTTTGACAAGTTGGCAATGTCATCCCTCAGGGTGGCAACACAGCTGCCACAGTTCCAGCCATCATTTCCTATAGATGCAAACCTTATTACAACCTTATCCTTTTATTTATTTATTTATTTATTTATTTATTTATTTATTTTTTGCTAAAATCCTAGTCTCACTGCCCGTTTTTCTTCCACGCATTAAGTGTTCAGCCTCTCTGTTCTTGGTGCTGACAAATGGGATTCTAACTCGAGAACTGCAGGCTTTTCAGAGAATTTGCTAAGGACAAGGAGGCTGGCAGTGGGTGTTCGGTGTAGCTATTAAGGCAGCTCTGGTGCCTCGGTTCGATTCCTGCCTCTCCAATTCCAGCTGCCAGCTAACATGCACCCAGGGAGGCCGTAGGTGATGGCTCAAGTACTTGGGTCCCTGCCACCCACGTGGGAGACCTTGGCTCCTGACTGCACCTGGCCCAGTTCTGGCTGTTGTGGGCACCAGCAGATGGGAGGCCTTTCCCAGTCTCTCTGCCTGTCAATAAAATTAATGAACTAAAATGTTTGAAAGATGAGTAGAATCAGGATGCCCCCAGGCTCTCCTCAGCGTCAGAAATCGCTTCCTGCTGATCTTTCCTCCGCCCAGGGAGCCCAGAGATCACTGGGGCGCCTGCGAACCTTCCAGAATCTGTAATTCTGATTTGCGGCCTTAATAATGTATTGCCCTGGGAATAAGGCTTCCCTTGGCATGCGAACTCCGGAAAGGATGAACGGTTGCGGGTTTCTTCTTTGTTAAACCGGGGTGGGGGGGGGTGATCACCATCCCTTCCCCCACGGGGAGAGAGGGAAACAGAACGCGCAGCTCTGTTATAATTCTGCTTCCCACGAAGAGTTTGAGAGTCTAACGTACCGCCGGTGAGCGCCAGCCTGCGGTACCGGGCCTTGGGAAGACAAAAAAAGAAGTTTCTTTCTACTGTATTATTTTTTATTTAAAACATTTTATTTATTTGCAAGAGAGAGAGAGAGAGAGGATGGAGGGAGAGAGAGAGAAATCAATCTCCCATCAGCAGGTTCACTCCCCAAATGCCTCCAATAGCTGGAGCCAGGAGCTGCAAATTCAATGCAGGTCTCCCGTGTAGGTGGCGGGGACCCAAGGGCTTGAGCCACTACTGCTCCCTCCCAGGGTGCGCGTGGGCAGGACACTGGGACTGATGGAGGAGTCGGAACTCGAACTCCCACAGGCACCCACACGGCGCCTTACCCGCTGCCCACCTCTCCTGTGTTACTTTTTTTTTAGATTATTTATTTATTTGGAAGTCAAAGTTAGAGAAAGAAGGAGAGGCAGAAAGAGGGGCGGTGGTCTTCCATCCGCTGGTTCACTCCCCAGTTGGCTGCAATGGCTGGAGCTGCGCCGATCCGAAGCCAGGAATTTCTTCTGGGTCTCCCACATGGGTGCAGGGGCCCAGGCACTCAGGCCATCTTCTACTGCTTTCCCAGGCCATAGCAGAGAGCTGGATCAGAAGTGGAGCACCTGGGTCTCGAACCGGCGCCCATATGGGATGCCGGCACTCAGGTGGCAGATTTACCTGCTGCGTCACAGCACCAGCCCCCCTGCATTACTTTTTTTTTTTTTGACAGGCAGAGTGGACAGTGAGAGAGACAGAAAGGTCTTCCTTTGCCATTGGTTCACCCTCCAATGGCCGCCGCAGCTAGCGCGCTGCAACCGGCGCACCGCGCTGATCCGAAGCCAGGAGCCAGGTGCTTTTCCTGGTCTCCCATGGGGTGCAGGGCCCAAGCACTTGGGCCATCCTCCACTGCACTCCCGGGCCACAGCAGAGAGCTGGACTGGAAGAGGGGCAACCGGGACAGAATCCGGCGCCCCGACCGGGACTAGAACCCGGTGTGCCGGCGCTGCTAGGTGGAGGATTAGCCTAGTGAGCCCCGGAGCTGGCCCCCCCTGCATTACATTTAAGAGCAAAAGCTGTGTGCCCTCAGCAGAGCTGTGGTGCAGCCCCTTCCGAAAGCGACCACTAACAAGGAGCCTGGAGGACGACCGCAGCTTAGGCCACTCCCAGGCCGAGGTTACCTCTGCACATGTGGCCAGCGCAATTAACAGGCTGATACAGAGGGGCTCTGCCACTGACGAGGAGGAAGGGAAATGGACTTGCTTATTAATAATGCAGGTTCCCAGCTCCTGTGGCCGGCCCTGCGGCTGCTTCTGCCGTCCTGGGCCTTTGATGCTGCTTCTATGCCGCTTCTATGCCTGAGGCCGAAGGAACCTCAAAGATTCAGGCCTCAGAGAGCAGGAGCCTCCGGAGGGGGCGTGGTCTCTGTGAGAAGGAAGCACCCGCCCACAGCCCTCCAGCAGAAGGCACCTGGGGTTAACTTGCTGCCTGTTTCTGAGGTTTTATTATCAAGCAGGCCCTTCTGTCACTAGTGACTGAAACCCAAACGAAGCACAAAGAGAATGTATTGATCTAACGTTATAATGGGAAGTCTCGGTTTCAGGTAGGGCTAGATCCAGGTGCTTAGACAATACCTAGAAGACTGTGCCTGTCCCCTCTGTCACCTCCACTGTCCTCAATGTTGACTTCCTTTTCTTGCAGGCTGTCTCCTCTTAGGGGCAAAGGTGCCTCCCAGGAGCTCCAGCCTAGCAGGGAAGTGACCATGACCTTGACAAAAGAGAAAGTCCCCTTCTCCAGTGACGTGAGACAGGCAGGCAGCAGGTGGTTAGAAGTTGCTGCAGATCAATCCTCTCCTTGTCAATCAAAACGTTCCTTTCCTGGGATGCACCTGCCTCACCTGGGGCCTGGGGGCGGGGGGTGATACCATGAAAATACAGATATTAAAGCCCCAAGAGGAACTTGTAGAGGTGCCAAAGAATTCACTGGTGGCTTCCTGACTGGACAGGCACCGCCCCTACCTCACAAAGGACGCCCACGGCTGGGAGGGGCCCTCGCTCGCTCTCTTCCGCCTAGACCACGCTGGGGGTGCTGCCTGGGTGCCCTTTCTCTCTCCCTCCCTCCCTGCTTTTGGGCACACTCCCGGCCCAGAGCCCACAGGTGGTGGGTATTTCTGAAACCCCTGCTCGGGTGTGTAAGAACGTCCACTTTCTCACCTTTTGAATAACGGTGTTGGCGCCCTGTGCACCTTCCGCGTGTCCGCGCTGAGGGTGCCCGTCCTTGCACGGGGCGACAGCCTGGAGTAGAGACCCCGGCACCCAGTCCACATCAGCAGCCCTCCCAGCAGGAGTCCCGCCGCCTCTCACCGGGATATGTTCTGGCTCTGGGGTGTGGTGTTGGGCCCATGGGCATCACATCCATCAGGGAATGGGAAGGCTGGTTTCTACAGAAAACCCGAGAGAGACAAAGGAATGCCCAGCAGGCCACCGGATCTCAGCGCCAGCACGCGCTGTGTCACCAACAGTGCAGCTGCTAACAGGGTGACGGGGCTAAGTGAACACGAGGGACTAGGGACAGCGGCAGAGCCCGGGGGAGAAGGCCGCAGTGTTTCAGCTGCAGGGATGCGGACGCGGACACCCGCGTGAACCAATAGACTCCTCCCAGGCGGGGCCTGCTGCAAAGAGCCCGCCTTCCCGCTCAGCCGGGGGCCCATGGGCAGAGTGCAGGTGTTGCCTGGGAGGAAGGAAGTGGGGAAGGGGCTTTCTGACCCCCCAGGAGGCGGGGCCGCAGGCCACCCCCCAGCCCTCCTTCCACCCTTGGAGCTCCCAGGCTGCCTGGAAACCCTCTCCTCCCTCCCTGCCCCCACCCCACTCTCACTTCCTCTTTTCTGGTCCTCAAAGGTACCCAGCTGCTCCAACCTCGGGGCCTCTGTGTCCGCTGTTCCCTCTGCCTGTAACACCCTTCCCAGGCACGCTGCCAGGCTGAGTCCTTCTCCAGCCGGGGCCTCCTCCCTGGAGCTGCCCGCCCTGGCCCTCCCTGGTTAATCAGCGCCCCCACCCCTTCACCCCCGCCCCAA